GAATGAAGATTCTGAGGTGTTTGATTCCTCATCCCTTAAAGAGGATTGGGAGCAGCCAGAGGAATAGCCTATGGGTTACCTCTGTGCAAGCAGGCTCCTTTCAGGAGGTCTACACCAAATACTTTCCAAGGAAGGGGCCATGGCTCAGTGACAGGACAACTGCTTGGTATGCAGAGGGTCCCAGGTTCAATCCCTGGCATCTCCAGTTGAAAGGATCAGGTAGTAAGTGATTTGAAAGACCTCAACCTGGGACCCTGGAGAGCCACTGCCAGTCTGGGTAGACAGTACTAGCCTTTATGAACCAATGGTCTGATTCAGGACAAGGCAATTTTTCACATACCACATATATTGGAGATCTCAAGCAATCTCTAAAGGGGGAGGACCCAGTCCATAATTTCCAGATGGCTGAGTCAGAGTTCTCTCCATGGGGGGGCGGGGCGGCACTGGGATTCCTCTCCCTGCCCTTTTTTTTTTTTTTACTAAGTATTAAATACTTAGTAAAAAAGAAGACGGGGACAGCAAAGGATGAGATGGTTAGACAGTGTCATTGATGCAACGAACATGAAATTGAGCCAACTTCAGAGGACGGCGGAAGACAGGAGGGCCTGGCGGGAGCTGGTCCATGGGGTCGCGAAGAGTCGGACTCGACTGTGCGACTGAACAACAACAACAACATTAAATACTGAATGGGACATTTTTGCTAGACCAAAAGTTAACCATTTGTTCTCCCCCCCCCCCCCGGTTTACTCCTTGGTACTAGAGGCATTAAAGAGATTCCAACTGTTACTAGTGGATGGCTCAGTGGCTTGCCTGTGCTCTAATTCATAGGAGGCAGACAGTCTTCTTAAGGATCCTTGTGATACATGGACCTAACAGGCTTTACTCAAAGACCTTGAAGCTCCCTCAACAGCATGTAGAGCTTCCATGGCTTGCTGCTCATTCACCAGAGCTGCCTAGTCCTGGACATCTGACAAGGGTGACGGATGTCCCCTTAAAGGGGTTTATTTAATTGGTGAAGGTATGGCCTAATACCTTGTGGCAGAAAAGGACAAAGAGAACAAAGAAAAGGAAAAGAAGTCCTCTACTTTTAGAAGGAGAAGATGGTATGTCCAAGAACTGCCTTCCTCCCTTTCGAGATCTGTTTGTAATGCCATGGGGAGATGGCAGTCAAAGCAGCAGTAGAACAACTGCCTGTAGCCAGCTCGCCCATTGGAATCGTGCAGTTCCAAGGAATCCTTGCACCCAGAGGAATTTCTTTTTCCTTCAACAGTAGGCCGCCCCCTACCTCCTGGACCACAGGAGCAGCCCCAGTGCCAGAGGCACACGTTCCAAGGAATCCTTGCACCCAGGGGAATTTCTTTTTCCTTCGACAGTAGGCCGTCCCCTATCTCCTGGACACAGGAGCAGCCCCAGTGCCAGAGGCACAAGGATAATGGGGGGTCATTCTAGGCTTCAAGTGGCTGAACAGGAAGTAAGTCAGAATGAGGAAGTAAGTTGGAATGGAGACTTCCTGGCCTCAACTGATCTATCAGAGGCATATCTGTATGGAACCAGTCAAGAGGCTCACCATGGCTGCCTACAATTTTTCCTTCGGTCTCAGCGCCCAGTGTGCTTTACCAAGGTCTGGGTAGCAGAGGGAGAATCCAGGTGCTACGGCTAGGTCTCCTGGCTTTCCAGGACCTCTTTGCCACTAATCGAAACTGCCAAGTCCCAAAAAGTTAATGGCAAGAACAAAGTCATCTCAAGCCATCCGGATAGGCACCTCAAGTTGTGAATGGCCAACCAGCTATTGTATCCTTTTCCTTCTTTACAGCTGATGCAGAGGTTTGTACCCTAGTTCTCCAGTCAAAGGGGCGGAAACCACCCAGGTGGCACCCTCTTTTTGCCGCGGAGGTCACAGTATCAGGACCTGAGGAGGCTTTCCTCTAAGAACCTTTGGCATCTCCTGCCAAGGGAGGTTGCTCCTCTGCAAGGATTGATGCAGTATCCTCCCCTGGGTCTTCTAAACCAAACAACCTGGGGGTTGAGCACAGGCTAGCATCCAGGGAAGGTTCCACAAAGAGTCCACTGTAACTCCAGGTTGGTCCTTTCAGGCTGAGTGCCTGAATCAAATAATAGAGCCTCTCTCTGAATCAGTTAGAGAGGTACTCCTTTTCCTACAGGAGGGTTGGACAAAGGGTTCAGTCAATTGTGCCCTTAAAGAAAGATTTTCTCTGCCTTCAGGGATACTAGGAAAGGAAACACCCTGTCCCTATATCCTCACACTAGGAGATGCCTGAAGAGAATAGCTGCCCCAGGCTATCCATTTCCCGACCTGGAGCCTAAGTGTAGTACTCAAGGTCCAGGGTCCCCTTTGAGCCCATGGATTCGCATTCCTCAGCTTGTAGGATGTCTGAGGTTTAAGCTATTTTCTGATTATCAGGAACCTTTTATGTTCCGCAATGATAGAGTAGTACGGAGGACCGACCCTGAGTTGTCCTCTCCAGGAAGTTTTCCTTGGAACTAAGAGTATCTACATCTACCCTAAGTAGGTGGTTTGGAGAGTACATTATCAGGTGTTACAAGTCTACAGGTTGGAGTTTGCAGATGACACGAAGTTGTTCAGGGTGGTGAGAACCAGGGAGGATTGTGAGACACTCCAAAGGGATCTGTCAAGGATGGGCAAGTGGGCGTCAACGTAGCAAATGGGTTCAGTGTGGCCAAGTGCAAAGTGATGCACATTGGAGCAAAAAATCCTAAATATAAATACACATTGATGGGGTCCGAACTGGCAGAGACTGACCAAGAGAGAGATCTTGTAGTAGATAACTCACTGAAAATGTCGAGACAGTGTGCGACTGCAGTAAAAAAGCCCAACGCTATGTTGGGGATTATTAGGAAGGGAATTGAAAACAAATCAGCCAGTATCATATTGCCCCTGTATAAATCAATGGTGTGACCTCATTTAGAGTACTGTGTAGCGTTCTGGTCACCACACCTCAAAAAGGATATTATACCATTGGAAAAAGTGCAGAAAAGGGCAACTAGAATGATAAAAGGGTTGGAACACTTTCCCTATGAAAACAGGTTAAAGCGTTTGGGGCTCTTTAGCTTGGAGAAACAACGGCTGAGGGGTGACATGATTGAGGTTTATAAGATTATGCATGGGAAAGAGCAGGTAGAGAAAGAGGTACTTTTCTCCCTTTTCTCACAATACAAGAACTCATGGGCACTCAATGGGAAAAAAAATCTCCAGGACCAGATGGCTTGCATCCCAGGGTGCTAAAAGAAATTGCAGATGTTATTTCAGAGCCTCTGGCTCTAATCTTTGAGATGTCCTGGAGTACTGGTGTTGTGTTGGAAGACTGGAGAAGAGCGAATGTTGTCCTGATCTTCAAGAAGGGAAAAAAGACGGACCCGGGAAATTACAGACCTGTCAATTTGACATCAATACCTGGGAATATTCTAGAGCATATTATTAAATGCTCTGTCTGTGAACACCTTGATCGGAATGAGTTAATTGGTAGTAGCCAGCATGGGTTTATCAAGAATAAGTCATGCCAGACCAACCTTATCTCCTTTTTTGACAGAGTTACTAAAATGGTAGACTCTGGCAATGCTGTGAACATAGTGTACCTAGATTTCAGTAAAGCACTTGACAAAGTCTCTCATGATATCCTTGAGGATAAGCTGGTTAAATGTGAACTGGATGGTGCAACTGTTGGATGGATTCATGGTTGGTTGAAAAATCGTACTCAACGAGACACAGATATAGAATGGGAGGGACTTGGCTTGACAGCAGCTCATGTGAAAGGGATCTAGGTATTCTGGTTGATCACAAGCTGAACATGAACCTGCAGTGTGATGTGACTGCGAAGAAAGCTAATGCACTCTTAGGATGCATTAACAGAAGTATTGAGTCCAGATCACGGGAGGTGGTAATTCCGCTCTATTCTGCTATGGTCAGGCCTCACCTGGAGTCCTGTGTCCAGTTTTGGGCACCAAATTTTAGGAAGGATGTTGACAAGCTCAAGCGTGTCCAGAAGAGGGCAACCAGGATGGGTATGTTTAGCCTGGGAAAGAGAAGGCTTAGAGGGGACATGATTGCAGTCTTCAAATATTTGAAGGGCTGTCATGTAGAAGATGGAGCAGATCTATTCTCTCTTGCTCCAGATTGCAAGACGGATGGAAATTATAAGGGAGTCGATACTGGCTAAATATCAGGAGAAACTTCCTAACTGTAAGAGTGGTTGAACAGTGGAACAGACTGCCTCGGGAGGTGGTGGATGCTCCTTCACTGGAGGTTTTCAAGCAGAGGCTGGACAACCATCTTTTGGATATGTTGTAGGGCTGTCTTTCGGCTGTGCTCCTGCAGAGTACAGGGGGTAGGACTAGATGACCTGCAAGGTCCCTTCCATAGGACTAGATGACCTGCAAATGACCTTCCAATTCTAACATTCTATGATTCTACTGTGAAGGTCCTTCTCTGAGGAAGGGGAGACATCTTGCCCTCCTGAACTCTTCTTCAAACTATGAGCTTCAAACCTTTCATATACCTACCACTTACCTGAATTTCTCTGGTTATCTTTTACCATTGCTATGGCTGTTACTGTTCTCTGAAGTTCTAGCTTACACAGGATAGTTGTCATACATTCTTACTGCTTCTCAGAGTTGCCAGAACTGAAAGAGAGGGGCAACTTCCACGTCACAGGAAGAGGAAGAATTTAGGTCCTGCCTCCCTAAATGGACAGTGGGAATCACCCATAAGATGTCTTTCTTTCCGCAGAGGAGAAGGAGCTTTCAAGGTAAACGTCCAAAGGTCCGTTCTATACCCAAAGAACCAAAAACATTATTGAGGTGTAACTGTTGTCAGGAGATAAAGGATCTGATATAGGAATGCTAACTGTGTGCCTCAAGACGCCTAGGGGGGCTTCGAAAGTGCACACCTGCATTTGAATCAAGCCCGACTAGAATCGTCTGGAACACTGTGGAGAATAAACTGTTTTCTTCTCTGTTTTTAGGTTAAAGCCAGAAAGGCTTGAAAAAGAGCTTAATAAATACTCAGAAAGTGCCAGGAGAATAAAAAAGAGAAAAGTCAATCTCAAAGAGTTCGCGGCATACCTGGAAGTCCCCGTTTCTGACACAGTAGAAAACATGTTCGCACTTTTTGATGAGGTAAACCACACGTTCAGTTTTTTTCTGAATAAATCACTTTTGTTGCCGTATTTAAATTTTTTGACAACTTTCACAAGTTATAATAAGAATGCAATATTAATTTTTATTTGCAGTTAACATAGCTGTAGTACAGGAAGTATCCATTTATATTAAGAAAATAGTTCCTGAAAACATGACTGTTCTGTCCCAAAGGTCTTATGCACATGCCTTTGCCTGTTCTTTTAGTGTGTAGCCTTAATGAGCTGTTTGATTAGTTGTTGCTCACCTTTTGCTGATTAGTTTTGGAACTACTATGCTAAGATACACTGTTAGTTTCACATTCTATCTTACTGGACTGTGTTCTGTCATTCCAGTAGAAGATAATGTGTAACCAAGTGAAGTCCATTGTGATTAGTAACTAGGGAGGAGGTGAGCCCCCCCTCCCTCCCTGGCAGTCTTTATGCAGCGACTGGACAAACACTTGTCAGGGATGCTCTAGGCTGATCCTGCATTAGACAGGGGGTTGGACTGGATGGCCTGTCTGGCCCCTCCCTACTCTGTGATTCTCTGATTCTAAGTATGCACTGATTATTTAATTCTCTCTCTCTCTCTCTTTTTTTGTTTAAAATAAGGATATTGGTAGGTGTTTTAATTGTGGTCTTTAGGAATCTGCATTTGCAAGCCTCTTTGCAGAAACCTTCATATGAACTTTTGTGATGTGAAAACTTTACAGCATTTTTTCCACTAGCTGCTTTCTCTGAAATCAGTAATATAACTTTGATCCTTTTCCTTTTGCAGAAGGAAAATGGTCTGATTGACTTGCGAGAATATGTAACTGCTTTGTCAGTAGTCTGTAGACCATCCAAAACCTTGCAAACAATACAGTTGGCTTTTAAGGCAAGTAGCAGCTTTATTAAAATGCTTCATTAAAAGCTTTCTCAAAGCTACACTTGGAAAATAGCCAAATTGATATCAGACTCAACAATGCAGTATCTGCCTGTACATGACAGTTAATTTGAAGACATTACTGACTTCACAATTTCTCTATGATTTCTCCAGCTTAATTAGGCATGATGTGAACTTCAGCACAATCACCATGCAAGGGCAGCTCCTGATTGGATCCCCTCTGTTTGTTTGGAGCATAACATCATGCTGGGCAGTTTTGTGCCTACATGGTAGCCCCGTGTAAAAGGGCCAGGCTGTTGCAGCTGCTTTTGCAAGGACTAAGTCACTTCAGTTACCAGCAAAGAGAAATCTCCCAAGGCACAGAATCATTTGCTTTTGTCCCCTATCTGGAGCTGTGCAATGGGACGCATCCTTCAAATGAGTGATGTCTCCTAGATTACACTTGCCTGCACTGTTGCATTTGCACAGTTAATAGTATCTATTCAAGAATAGATAGTAAATTAGCTGGGTTCATGGCACGCAGACACTGAAGGCACACAGATGAGGTGACTTAATCCTTGCAACTAGTAAGTCTCAACTCAAAAATCAGGAAAGGGGGGGGGGGTTACTGTGTTTCTTTTTCAACCCAGTAGTGGTGGCAGCAGCTGCAAGAGCCACTCACACACTCCCAGTCTTACCCATCTCACAGGATGGTTGTGAGGATAAAATAGAGGGGAGCTGCTTTGGATCCTCTTGGGGGAAGGAAGTAAATGAATAAGAAAGTAATATACTTGTGTGACAAATGGTGGTAATTGTGCCAAAGCAGATCAATCCACATTCACTCAGATGCATCCAAGTAGGTTTCTGAACAGCTGACACCCCGCTCACACAGCAAGCAGAGAATGAGCCAAACTGGTGTGTGATCAGGCATGATCAGCTACACTCAAATGCAGCCATAGTCATGCATGCACAGTTTTGCCTGCAAACTGGAGCATCTTTTGTACTCCTTTAATGCAAAATACTATCTGGGCAAGCAAATCCGGAAGCATGACATGATCCACGCATGCCTGCTTGCCACTTGATGAGTGCAGCATCAGATGAGGACCTGTGCTTATAAAAGGGCCATTCCTGGCCAAGTGCCAGGTCCAAGTCATTTCCCGTAGTTCCCACATTCAACTGAAAATCATCACACACTGAGTAATCAAGTGGTGTGCCAGTTCTAACTGGAAGCCACTTATAGCTTAAAAGCTATAAATGCCTTAGACCCAGGATATCTTCAGGAGCAACTTCACCTTACTCTCAGCACACCTGGGGAAGCCTTGGTTAGGCATGCTGTCAGCACAGATGGGTTTGTGGGCAGCTTGGTTAGAGTTTTCTCTGCTGTTGGTATCACAGCAATGGAACATCCTATTGAGGGAGGCCTATCAGGCTACAGATCTTATTGGAATTTAGGCAGCAAGTGAAAATTACTTTATTCATGAGGCTGTTAATGTCGGTCTCCTTCAGCAGATACTGAAAGGGCTTTTGATGGGTATCTGTTGTTGCGGATCGATTTTGCATCTATCTGTATTGTGACTTTTTGTGTTAAGCACCATCTTATTTGCAGATGAATGAGAATAGGTTTTTAGAAAAAATGTGGTGCAATTTTAAGCTGTGAACCCCAGTTTAGTGTTTTAGTATTTAGTGTTTTAATCAGTGATAAATGTTCTGAACTCTAAAGGAAAAGGAAACGGGGTTCATGTCATGTTGAAACCACTGTTGTTTGATAAATGTTCTGAACTCTAAAGAAAACAGGGTTCATGTCATGTTGAAACCACTGTTGTCAGAAAAGTGGAAAGCCTGTTTGGTCGTGGGCTGGGGTGTAACTCACACAGGGCTTGTGGTAGGAGGACATCTGTGCTGTTGCAGAGGTGTGTTCTCTGGTGGTCCTGGGAGTGGGTCAGTCCTCATTTCTGGGCTACAGCTCCTCCTCTCCAAAGGCAGGGTCAGTGAGCTCTTTTGATCCCAGAGAGGGAGGGGCTTGTCCTAGAAAACCTCAGTCTTTTTGGCCCTGCCTTCCGAGCAGGATGTCTTTGGTGGTGCTCTGAAGCGGTCCCAGTTTGTTTTCTCCAGAGAAGAAAGTAGCTGTTTGCTACCATGGGAAGGGAATGGCCTAGCTGCCCCCCTCCCGCACCGCATCAGAGTGACAGTGAGCTGGATAGAGCCGAGGGCATTAGGAGTTTCCCAGTGGCCATGGTCCTCACTGCAGACTCCTGCTGAGGTCTCCAACGTTCGCGCTGGGAGCACACGCAGACATCCCTTATCTCAAAGGAGCGGTAGACAGCGGCGACAGCGGAGTGGTTGGAACAACGAAAGTGACGGAGCAGTGGTGAGGCGATCCCTGGTGGCCAGTGAGTGGAACATCGAGTGGCGAGATCCAACAACAACGGAAGCAGAGGCAGAGCCACGGAGGAACGCGGTGACGTGGAGGCGCAGGCACGGCGGAGCCGAAATAGACGATGGCCAGGGCTGCTCGGCACTTGCCTTCGCCTTCCATGTCGCCGCCGCACCAGCCTTCGGGGCCGCTCACCCCTGGTTGCTGCCTCGCCGCTGCCGCCACCATCTTTTCCTCACAGCCCCCTCGCCAGCCTGCCATTGTTACCGCCGCCGCCGCTGTGGAACTTCAGCCAAGGGAGAGAAGGGTGCCCCCCCACTCCTAGTGAGTAGGTACCCAATTTATCTACTTGATTAAGGCTTTCGAACCGCTGGGTAGGCGGGAGCTGGGACAAGGACCAGGAGCTCACCCCGGCTGCGGTGGGACTCGAACAGCCAAGGTTGTTCGGTCAAATGGAATATTGCAGGCTGGCGAGTATTTACTGCCTGCGCCACTGCAGAGCTGAGGGCATTAGGAGTTTCCTAGTGGCCATGGTCCTCACTGCAGACTCCTGCTGAGGTCTCCAACGTTCGCGCTGGGAGCACACGCAGACATCCCTTATCTCAAGGGAGCGGTAGAGTTTGCAATAGCCTTCAGGAGCACCTCAGCTCTCAGTCGAGCTTGAAAGGGACCAGTAACAGACAGCAGAGGAGCAACCCCAGCCTTCTAGACTCCAGCTGAATTGTGGGAAGACCTGTCCATAGAGGGGGGGGGGTCTGTACCGAGGCAGAAGGGAGCCATTTTTTACTTTCTTTTTGCCTGCTACTTTCACCTTCAGCGGGATGCCTGTTTTTTTGTGGGAAAACAGCAGCAACGGCAGGCCTGGCCACCTCCCAACCACTGGATAGTGTAGTCTCTGATTTAGATCTGCCTAACTTGCGGGCTTCCACCTCCACCCTGGCTTCCCAGACCCAGGCCATGGATTTGTCAGGGGAAGACGCTAAGGCAAACCTCCTGGCTTAGATCAAAGCAGAGATGAGGAAAGAGATTATCGAAGCCATGCAGGCGTCTAGGCAGAGCAACAGTTCTTCATATGGGTCTTCGGACAGACAAAGGGAGACACCCAAATCAGGAATCAGTCTCCAGAAAGGAAAGAAATGACAGTGCCTCTCTCTCCCCCCTCTGAACAAAAAAGAAGGATGGAGGCTCAGTCCAG